CTGGTGTCTAAGATACACGACATAGCGGCTAAGGCCCAAGAAGCTGATAGACTTCGATGTGTGGACGATTGTGTTGACGTGCTGCTACAGACTGGTCAAGTTAATGACAAGAATATGAGAATACCGACTATTCTCAATTATTTCAAAACGAATGACCTAACCCTTCTTGTTTCTGATAAAGAAGGAGGTTTCGTTGTCGTTCCTAGGTCACTCTACCTCGAAAAAGCAGGGCGGGCCATAGAAAAAACTTTAACCAGTTGCATGATTTGAAAACCAAAAGTGTGAAGGCAAAGGCGCTTCAATTGTCCCACAGACTTGAGTTGGAGAAATTGAGGAAGACAATTACTGCTACAAAAAAGGACCATTTGGATATGTTTTTCACAGCAAAAACGCACAAAGACGAATGTCCTTTTCGAGTTGTGGTCACTAAAAAAGGGTCTTGGCAGGATCTAATGTCACGGTTCCTCTTAAGCCATTTATCTAATCTCCAGCTGAATGACCCATTCCTAATGGCAAACTCAGAGAAACTTATTAAGTATCTGCAACTAAATGCGATGACAGTGCGCTTTCGGTTCTCACTTGATGTGGAGGATCTATTTTACTCAGTACTACACATCAAATTATTTGTAGCAGTAAGCGAATGTATTGAAGCCAATGGAACTATTTCCTTTCAAAACAAGTGCGGCATTCCGGTAGAGTCCTTCTTAGAACTTTTAAAGTTCTACCTTTCTGCTACAGTCGACACTTTTGAAGGTAATTCTTTCCTACAAAAGAAAGGTATCTGTATAGGTTCCTGTGTGGCGCCTATATTATGTGATATTTACTTGGCCCAATGTGATCGGCAATAGCCAGTACACTTTCCAACAGCCATGTATCTCATATTTTTTCGATACGTTGATGATTACCTCGTTCTTCTTGAACATCGCCCAAGTGAGAATGAGACGCAACTATTCAACATCATCCGATCTAACTTTTTAGAAAATGGCCAGGGTCTCAAGTTCACCCAAGAGTCCCCAGTGAACTCCAGACTCCAATTTTTAGATCTAAGACTGGTGTTCTCTGACAAACACGCTTGCTGGATGTATTCCCCTCGATCGAAGAAAGGACTTTTACAGTAGGATTCGGCTCATTCCAAAATTATTAAAAGAGGAATTGCAAACAATTGCCTGAATACAGCTCTTAAAAAATCTTGCGTACACTCAGCGGGGGAAAGCTTTGATGCTCAAGTACAAAGACTGAAAGCATTGGGATATCCAAGTTCGATAATATATAAAGTCGCCGAATCCTTGATGACCTCAAGTAAAAAACATGACACTGAAAAACACAAGAAACACCGAGCGACTGTTCTGCCATATATACACCGCTTGTCCCACAACTTGAAGAGAACAGCTGCGAAGTTTCAAGTCCAAGTCGTGCTTTCAGCTCCGGACAAACTAAAAAGGCTCTGCCCTAAGATCAATTGCCAACAACATGAACAGCAAGAATGCAGTGTAAAACATCGACTCAAGTATGTAGAATGTCAAAGTGGAGTGATATATCAAATACCATTTACCTGCGGCAAAGTGTATGTAGGTCAGTCGGGGCGATGTATTAATACGAGATTAAGAGAACATGCCCAAACGTTGAAATCAGCGCCATCGGGCTATCTTGCGATGCATGTCAGAGCCTGCAAATGCTCACCAACATTCAACAACACCAAAGTTCTGAAGCGGTTCCGTGACAAAAACATTATAGAGCTGTACGAGGCTCAAGTCATCCTCACCTGTGGCGACGAGTGTATAATACCCCTGTCAGACGGGGTAGTTTAGTGTCACTAAAAGCGAGTGCACTTCAGCCCGCCGAAACGCACTTCAAGTGTGTTGGTGCTACACGGGAAAACTTAGTGTCACTCCAAAATGATGGCAATGACGATGGGTAAGTAATAGGCACGCAAAATATTAGAGTGCATACGCATTTTCTCATAAATAACTTCGTCGTCTTATTAGAAACACGTTACCGCACATTGTTGCGCTAAGTCACGAGCTTTAATCCAATCTTAAATCGAACTTGATTATTACAATCAGCCATTACAAGCCAGTGATACACGTCCGCACGCCGGTACAATGCTCATCTATTAGCGGCGAGATGTTTTGGTGGCGCCCTCCTATGGTTCCCCCTTGTGACGTCATTACCTTGCGAACAACAAGTTCGATGGTGTTTGTAAATAGCATGGTGGAAGCCTGAAACCATTGCGCTCTCAAAGGAACACTGCCAACACCGTCGAAATTAAAGTTCCTTCATTCTTCTTATTTCCGTCGATGGTATACCCTTTCCGACGTCATAGTCAGCTTTTGGGCCAATCGTGAAAGGCCGACCACAGCGACGCTTTCGGTCGCGCACGTCGCCAATACTCTGTTTCACCTTATAATGTACCGCAGGAAAGGCTACAAGCGCGAGCTCCTTGCTCAGGGCACATCTCCGCGGCACAAGCTCTCGTGCGTTAAGAGTAGCTTTCAACGCTATGAGCTCGCGCTTCTAGCCTTGTTTGCGGTACAACATAAGGTGAAACGGAGTATAGATCGAAACGAGCAGAAGTAGGGATTGAACCCAGGATTCCTGGGTTCTGCAGCGCGAGCTTTCGCTCCGCGTGCTCCGAGCTGGTGTGCGCGAGCCCACTTGGCCACTCGCACGGCGGCCACTCGCCACAACGAAACATCGTGGAGTGTGTGAAGGGCGAGATGGAGGGCGATATCCGCGATGTTGGACAGTGGAAGCGCGTGGTTGGTTCACTTTTTCCCGGGAGAGCCCGACGCCTTTCAGATGAGATGCAGCTGGACCTGGATGCCGACGCACAGGCAAGAATGTCTGTCAAGTGACATCGATCAGCAGCTGCAGGCCAATGCCTTCACCGTAGCCGCTCTCATGACCGACAACCTAGCCGTGATCAGTCGAGAACGGTGGACTTTCCAGAGGAACGAACGGTGGTTCGAAGACACCTTGCCCCATTTTGGCGAGTTCCATTTCAATCAAGCCTTTCGCGTCTCTCCTGCCACCTTCAGATTCCTGGTGGAGTTTAGCAGGTGCCTCTTGGTCGTCGCTGGCCGTCGCTGGCCGTAGCGCAGGGGCCAATGCTAAGAACTAGATTAGCCGCTTGTTTTTCTGCAATGCACCAGTTTCCTGCCAACAGAAAACAAGTGCGCATCTAATATTACTCCTATCAAAATAATACTAATATTGCTCAGCGTTAATTTCCTCTATTATTTTTACTCCTTCAACACTGCTATCGAGATTACACACTCGGTCTACAGGAGCGAGCGTAGTGTGCTCCCCGAACTCACTTCACTGGAAGTGTGTTCCTCGGGCAGAGCTGGGGATTGAGCTCACGATCACTGGGTTCTCCAGCGCGAGCTTTCTCCCCACGTACTCCGATCAGGTGGGCGCTAGCCAACTCGGCCACCGATACCCCTTAATAAAGACACGTTAAAAAAATTAGACGTTTGCAATTCTCTGTAATGCCAAATTGGAGCGCAGCTCTTGAGAGGAGGGAGGAAGGGCACGAAGGGGAGGGTAAGCCAGCTGCTCCCCCTTCGTACTCTCCTCTCCTATTCCCATCCCACTTAGCGTAAAAAATTCCCTGAATTTCCCGCTAAATTTAGCCGCGAAATTTTCCCGCTGAATTGACGTGTGACGTCACATGACACGTGATATGAAATTTAAGATGTGACGTCAAACGGGTATAATTTTTCCTCTAAATTTAGCGGAAAATTTTTCCACCAAAACTGAGCAAAAACTTTTACCGCAAAATATAGCGGGAAAAGTTTACCCTCGTGGCGTCACACGTGATGACACACATGACGTCACGTGTGACGTCATTTTGAGAAACGGCCCTTAATGCAACGCGCGGTTACGCCGACGCCGCTTAATTCAGAAAGGGGTGCCTAGGAGCTGTGTTCTAAAACAACGTTGCATTAATGAACGATTTTTAAGCCAATTGGATGATTCTGATCGATCATCGCAAGCCAATATAAAGAACGAAGCATATCCAACTTTGGCGTTCCGCTTCGTTCCACAAAAGCCTATGAGGAGGCCCTGACACTGCCTAATCAGATCATAATTATCGTGTCGTCTGAAATAATTACAAGCTGAAACAAAAGTAGACTCTATCATTCTCTGCTAACCAAGACAGCCATGGATGACTGACTTTGTCGTCGTCTTTTATGAATTCACCGCTGCGCTAATCTTGATTCAGGTAAGCCTAAACTCCAAGTCCACCCCACTACTTTTTTTTGCAATGCCACTCTTCTACATGCCGTCTCTTTCACGAATTTCTTTTTCTTTATAAAATAAGACTTACGCAACGCTTTCGGTTTCTGTGTTGTTATGTTTTACTGTTGAAACACTCCTACTGATCCCCGCGCTCGATCGAGCGAAGTGAGTTCGTCAAACTCACTCCAAGCGAAGTGTGTTCCTCAGGAAGGAGCCGTGTGGCACACCACAGAAATGACACTAAGGGCGAAGTGCACTCGCTTGTAGTGACACTAAACTAGCCCGTCTGCCAAGTGTATAAGCGCCCCATCAGTGACCCAAACACAGAAAGAACTTCAGTTCCTTCGGTGTTTGCCCTAAAGACTTGAAACACAAAAAGATCTTCAGTTCTAGCTGTAGCAGCGTGGCGCTGCAAGTCACGGCGCACCACGGCGCATCGGCTGTGCGCACCCCGGTCACGGATGTCACGTGACAAGCGCCTATAAGTATAGCACGGTCAATAAAGAAGCCCTCTTTGCCCGTTGGAATGTCGTCTGCTCAAGTTATCACATTGGCGACGAGGATGACAACGCACCCGCGCTGCCCAGCGGAAGCGTCGCAGACGGCAGCAGACGAGCACCATACGAGCAGGGCCAACTGAACGGACAGCGACAGCCAAAGCAGCGCAGTCATCGCATCTCAAGCGGGCGACGGACGGAGCGGACACGACGGACGGAAGCCAGCAACCGATAAGTACACCGTCGGTTTGCCGAAATATGGCACCTCTTGGAAATCTTGACGAATACGACGAAAAACAACAGAATTTTGACTCGTATTTAGAGCGTTTCGAGCACTTCGTTAGCGCAAACGACATCAAACCAGAAAAGAAGCTAGCGGTGTTCTTGACCGTTATAGGACCTCGAGCTTACGAAGTTCTGAAAAGCTTGGTCGTACCGGCAGTACCGGGAGATAAGTCGTTCGAAGAAGTGAAAGTTTTGCTGAAAAACCACTATAGCCCGAAGAGCTCGGTCATAGCGGAAAGGTGCAAATTCAACAGACGTGTACAAGAGGAACAGGAGAGCGTTGAAGATTTCATTGTAGCGCTAAAGCATTTGGCAAGGAAGTGTGACTTTGGCCAGTTTCTGCAAGATGCTCTGAGGGACAGGCTTGTGGCGGGAATACGGCGCGAAGAAACGCAACGTGCGCTATTCGCCGAAGAAAGCTTAACCTTCGAAAGGGCATGCAAGATCGCATTGGATCAAGAGCAGGCGGCACGACAGACAGCGTTACTACACGCCGGAAGCAAAGACGCGTCGTTGAACGAGATAAGAGCGAACCAGAAAGATAACGTCAATAAGCGTGACGTTCGAAAACACAAGCAAAGCAAGAAGTCTTGCGAAAGATGTGGAAGGGCGCATGCGGCAAGCAAATGTTGGTACAAGAATGCTACGTGTCACAAGTGTGGCAAGTTAGGCCATTTGCAAAAAGTGTGCTCGAACGAGAAAAAGGGACCCAAGAACGCGAATGCAGTGGACTGCTCGGAGGACGATTCAGAACTGGACGTCTATCACTGCCTTAACACGGTGCGTTCGGGTTATGAAGTGAAAGTCAATGTTGAAGGGGCGGACGTTTTCATGCAAATTGATACAGGAGCGGCTGTAACAATTGTTCCTGAAAGTGTTGCGAAAACCGTGTTCCCTCATGTCAAGTGTGAGCCATCTCGGGTAAACCTAAAAACGTACACGGGTGAACGAATCCCGGTAAAAGGGCAATGTGACGTTTCCGTCACATACGAAAACCAGACTTTGAAACTGCCCGTTATCGTCGTCGATAACCAAGGCAAGAAATTGCCGTTGCTCATGGGGCGGAACTGGCTTGAGAGGCTCAGACTTGATTGGAAAAGCGTCATGTCACTGGAGCATGTAACTGATTCACACCGAATAGAAGCGCTGCGTAACAAGTTCCCGACAGTATTTTCTAATCAGTCTAGTGTCACGAACAACTATCAAGCGAAGATAGTTCTAAAACAAGATTGTACGCCGGTTTTTTGCAAGGCGAGACCGGTGCCTTACGCGTTACGCGATAAGGTTGGAGAAGAGCTGGACAGGCTAGAGAAGAGCGGGGTTTTACGCCGCGTAAGTCACAGTGAGTGGGCGACTCCGGTAGTTGTAATTCACAAGAAAGATGGATCACTCAGGTTGTGCGGGGATTACAAAGTAACGATCAACCCTGTACTAAAAACCGACCATTACCCACTGCCGCGACCTGAAGATCTGTACACTGCCATCGCAGGTGGCAAAGTGTTTTGCGTGCTGGATCTTTCTGCTGCGTATCAGCAGGTACCGCTGGCTGCCGAGTCCAAACCACTTTTGACTATAAACACGCACATGGGGTTGTTTCAGTTCCAACGCCTACCGTTTGGTGTGGCCAGTGCGCCAGCCATTTTTCAGTCCTTCATGGACGAGGTGCTTAAAGGCATACCTCATGTGGGATGCTACATTGATGACGTCATCGTGTCTGGAAAGGACACCCAGGACTGTCAAAAGACGCTGGAATGCGTCTTGCGTCGACTTCGTGACTACAATGTCACTTTGAAAACGGACAAGTGCCGTTTTTTCCAAAGCTCGGTGACCTACCTGGGTCACACGGTGAGTGCCGATGGCATTTACCCGACAGAAGCAATGACAAAGGCTATCACAGAAGCGCCCGAGCCCACCTGCGTAACGGAACTGAAGGCGTATTTGGGGATGCTAAACTTTTACGCTAAGTTTCTCAAGAATGTTTCGTGCGTAGCTGAACCGCTTTATCGGTTGTTGAAAAAAGGTGAAAAGTGGTCGTGGACTCGGAAGTGCAGCGAGGCCTTTGCTGCTACGAAGCAGTTGCTCGTAAACAGCCAGGTTCTTACGTTCTACGACGTAGACAAGCCAATTGCATTGCTGTGTGATGCTTCATCGTACGGGATTGGTGCTGTCATTTTTCATGTAACACCAGAAGGGGAAGAGCGCCCAGTGGCGTTCGCGTCGCGAACGCTCACGTCAGCGGAAAAGAACTATGCGCAGTGCGAGCGAGAAGCGCTAGCTCTGATGTTTGGTCTGAAAAAGTTCCATCGCTACCTGTATGGTAGGGAGTTCACTCTCTATACAGACCATCAGCCACTGCTTGGGATACTGGGGCACGATAAGCCTGTACCTACGCTAGCGGCAGCTCGAATGCAAAGATGGGCAATGATTCTTGCAGCCTATAGGTACAAACTCAAGTACCGTAAAGGAAAAGATGTCGAGGTGGCTGATGCTCTGTCTAGACTCCCACGACCGATGACAACAGCTGACGACCCTGCTGAGTGTCTTTTGTTGTTTGACAGTACTCCCTTGACCGCGGAAGACGTAGCTAGAGCTACAAAACGTGACTTGACCTTGTCTCGCGTAGCTAACTACGTTCTGAATGGATGGCCTGCCCAAAGTAGCGAAGAGCTAAAACCGTACCATGTACGACGTGACGAGTTGTCATTTGAGCAAGGCTGCGTCACCTGGGGCTCAAGGGTGATTGTACCTGAAAAGCTGCAGTCACAGGTTTTGGCACTGTTGCATGAGGACCATCCAGGTGCTAGCCGCATGAAAATGCTTGCCAGAAGTTTTGTATGGTGGCCAGGGCTAGACCTAGAAATCGAGAGCTACGTACGACAGTGTCGCGTATGTCAGTCTGTTCAGAACGCTGCTCCACCTGTACCGCTACAGCCATGGAGCTATCCAACTAAGCCGTGGCAACGAGTACACGTGGATTTTGCTGCTAAAGAAGGCCATGTCTTCCTAGTACTGGTGGATGCTTTCTCGAAATGGATCGAAGTGTGGTCCATGTCTTCCACCACTACTGGTAAAACACTCGACAAATTGCGAAGTGTATTTGCGGCTTATGGGCTACCAGAGGTACTGGTGAGTGATAACGGACCTCAGTTTGTTTCAGATGAGTTCTCTGAGTTTATGAGGGTGAATGGCATCAAGCACGTTAAGACGCCACCCTATCATGCTGCCTCCAACGGCGCAGCAGAGCGTCTCGTGCAGACCACAAAAAAAACTCTGCTGAAGCAATTGTTAGACGAGAAACAGAGTGGCAAGAAACACTCTTTGCTCGAGCGTTTGGATAGCTTTTTTACTGAGCTATCGAAACACCCCAAACAGTACCACTGGTCGCACTCCAGCCGAGCTGTTTTTGAAGCGACAGCCACGAGTGAAACTTTCTTTGCTTAAACCCGATTTTGTAAAAGCCATGCAAAACAAACAGCAGCACCTGAAGGAACAGAGTGATGCGTCGCGAGGTGCTAACCGGTCTTTTGTTGTGGGTGATACTGTGTTGGTCAAAACGGTGCGAGGCGAGCTAGTGTCATGGGAAGAAGGTGTGGTGACTCAAGTCGTCAGTCCTGTGACATATTTAGTGAAAGTGGCGCAGGTTGTGCGGTTCACACACGCCGACCACATCCGAGACCGCCTTGCAAGCCCGACGTCCCTTGCTGCACCGCCTACGCCGGAGGAGCCTACGCTCCCAGATGTTCCGGTGCCTCGAGAAACCCAGCCGATGGTGCCACAAGTTGCTTCTGCTGCTATGCCAGCGGACTCTCAAGCCGGCAGTCAACAAGCTACACGGACGCGTCAGCAGCCGCTTCCACCACCGAGTTCCACAAGTGCGCCAGTGACGACACCGGAGCCTTGTACTGAGGCACCGACTTCCAGAAGAAGTACGCGAGTGCGGCGTCCACCGGACAGGTACAAACCGGAGGACTTCCGAAGCTGATGTGAGGGGGAAGGAATGTAGCAGCGTGGCGCTGCAAGTCACGGCGCACCACGGCGCATCGGCTGTGCGCACCCCGGTCACGGATGTCACGTGACAAGCGCCTATAAGTATAGCACGGTCAATAAAGAAGCCCTCTTTGCCCGTTGGAATGTCGTCTGCTCAAGTTATCACACTAGCAATGTTTTACCTGAAGACTTTTTAGCCGGTTACTCTGCTTAATGTTTTTCTCATTTTTTTCTTCTATTCAATTTTTCTTTTTATTATTTTTTTCATTTTGTTGTATGGACAGTTTTTTTTTTTTTTTTACATGACAAGTACTTTGCTTTTAGCTGAAGTTAAAATATTTTTGTTTCAATTTCTAAAACCAAATATGTTCTTTGTAACAGCAATGACTTTAATATTATTTCATTTTTCTTTTGAACTTTTTCACTTCCACCTTGTATTTCTCTAGATGCTCTATTAAATTTGACAGTTGTAAGTAAGTGCTCTGTCCTGTCCCCTCCTTCTCTTCTTAGTCCTTTGCGCTTTTAAAACCACCGTCTAGGTGTCCTGCATCAGCCCGCAAAATACGAGTCGCTCTCGTTCCCTGTGACGCTTCACGCCACGCCCCTTCCAGCGGAACGGCACCTGTATCCTGGCTAAAGTGCCACTTTTTCGTCATGAAGCGGCGGCATGTGGAGCTACCCACAAACGCGGAGTACTCGGTACACGTAGAGTTTCTGTATAGGCTCCCTACAGGAGCTACCGCTCATTCACACTGGAAGCGGATCCGCGTTCGCAAAGCGGTTGCGAACGCGGTTGTATAAAGATCCAGTGCAATTGCACGCGCACTCGAGGATATCAAGTGCGCGTGCAATTGTACTGAATCTTTATACAACCGCGTTCGCAACCGCTTTGCGAACGCGGATCCGCTTCCAGTGTGAATGAGCGGCTAGAGTTGAGCGTCTGTTTTCCGCGCGCCGCCGCGCCGCTATTGGGAGTATTCACTGGCGGCCATATCTGTGTGCGCTCCTGCTGAGCGCGTGCTGAGGGCGAGCTACCGCAGTTCTTTTGGAACGTGCATTTAGGACCATCGAGGTTGCCTGCCTTAGCAGGCTATTAATGCGAGTTCGTTCTGAGCATGCGTTCTAAACAGCACCCACAAATATGGCGTCGAGTGAATGCCTCCTATTCGTCGAGATCCGATCACGTGAGGAGCCGAATCAAGTGTCGTACAGGAAAGAAGATGCCGACGCGCGCCCCGGCGTACGTTCCCCTGCTTTTCAGTGCGCCGCGCGCCTCGAACGCTCGGTGCCACTATTCGCCGAATTCAGTCATGTGAGGAGCAGACTCCGCACGCCGTGCAGGAAAGCCGGCGCTCAGGGGATGAACGCGTAACTCTGGCTCCCGTAGGCAGCCTATACAGGAACTCTAGCTACACCTACCCCTATAGCAACCGTATCTTTGAGTTTATTTGAAAGACCAACGCAAACATATTGAGGGGATTTAGTTCCTACAGATTCTGCAGCGTGAGCTCCATGCTTTGAACGGAGCTCGCGCTCGAGCATTTTTCTACGTACTTTGATCTGCGGTGCCACAACACACTCGGCCAACGATCCCCCACGTCACTTGGCTTTGCCTGTGAGCTAAAGCAAATGAGCTACGCTTAGAGTATCGGCAATTTTCACCGATATTGTTGTGGGCGCCGCCATCTTTTTGTTTAGTAACAAATCAAACACAACTGCCGATCGTCATGATTCAAAAGTGCGACTTCCTCAGCATTAATTTTGGAGTCAGGTAGCTCACGTAATATTGTTTGCTTTGTCGCGAACTTGTTTAAACATTTGAAAAGGACGGCCCTCCTGTGATTTCAGATAAAATTTCAGATAACTGACAACCATTATTTTAAGCACCAAAATGTGTATGAAACGTAGCTTAGTTAGTGGCTCTACTTTAGCCCGACCGCATAGGCACAGAAAAAAAAACGAACAGCTTGACCTCGCGGTCTTGGCGCTGCTTCAGTGGCTTCCTCAGCCTGTAGCGCTGACGAAGCTCATAGACGCTTTGCAGCAGTTGTGAATGGGCGCCGCCATAACTGACCTTCAGTTTTTGTTTCCTCTTAGTTAATTTTCTTCACTTTATCATTTCCATAGCAGGCCAGGTTATTGCCATCTTAAATTCTATTCCATCCTTCTATCCAGCACTGGCCTTTCTGGAGGCTCGTCAGCACCCGTTTCAGTGGTTCGGTATCTCCATGAGACAAAAGAAGGTCAGCAATGGCGGCTGTAATCTGGCGCGTGGGTAAAGCGTCTTATACCAACGTAGCGTCGGCTGCGATCCCAGCTAAGGTATATCAAAGCAAATATTCATATCTTACGGTTTCAGAAGCCAAACCAACAAAAATCACCTAACATGCCCCAATAAAAAAAAAAGTGCGGGTTGATTTTGACTAACTGTCAAAATTTACATTTTGACGTGTAACCGGAATCTCAGATTTTGGGCACCTCGGCCGATATTTAGAGCCGTCAAATATGAATTCATGGGAGAGCGCGATGGCTCAGAGAGACTGAGACGATTTAATGTTTTGTGCTTTGTTTTAATATCATTGCCACTTAAAAGCCACCGAGGTGTTTTTTTTTTTTAAACGAAGTATTGTCAAACCATTCCGACAAGCATAGCCTAATTGCGAAAATGATTTTTGCAAGTTACAAAAACATAAAAATGTTTTCGCATACGTGGCGGAATTTGAAGTGGCAGAGCGCGGTTCATGTCGCCCATTTGATTTGGATTGCGTCGGGCATGTGTACCGGCGCACAGTAGAACGCCAACAAAAGTAGCTATGGTGCACCCGCAGCATCGCGCTTGTTGTTCTGGCATCTCTGGTTCGCTCACTGCGGACATTTAGGCATCTGACACCCTGACGTCTTGAGCTTTTTTTTGTCTTTCACGTGGCGTTCCAAGCGGCACACGACGAATAATGCACATCAAGCTCTTCTTGAACACGTGTCTCCATCTGTACTATGTGTTAAGAAACTACAATTTGCCGTAACTGAATGGGAAAAGTTTCAGGTCTATAACATTTTTAACTTGTAATATATCAATATGGAAGTCCTAGAAAAAGTAATATCAAAAGATGCTTCATAACTTAATGGTTGCATGGCGTGTAAGGCACGCGGTTAGTCCAACGCCAGCCGCCTCGAATGCCACCGCGGCCGTTGATGACCCGTCTGTGGGACGTACTGAGCCGTCCGTCCAGCAGTGGTACTGGTCCTCCATGTGGGACTGCGCAAGGGTTCGGAGGGTCACTGTTGTTGCCGTCCTCCTTGATCTCAACTCGGGGATGTGTAGATCGACGTCCATGGGTTGCGGACGTCCTTGCAGTGGTGGGAGGTCGGCCAGGGCCGCAGCGTGTCCCGTGATGTCGCCAAGTTGACAGAGCGCGCGTCCAAGTCCCGACTCTGTTCTTTGCGCAATCTTCAAGATTAGGCTGTCCGTCGACCGTTCATTCTCTATTTGGATAAGGTGCTCAAGAGCCCGCTTCTGTAGTGTGGCACAAAACGTGGCTACGCTGGCCTGGACGAGTGTCTTGTGTGATGAGGCACTTCGGGGCGTGCCAAGGCAAATTCTCGGTGCCACCCTCTGTGCCCTCTCTAGGTTCTGTTGTTGTGTGCTGTTTAGCGTCACCAATGGCAGCGCGTAGGTCAGACAGGACACGACCTATCCCTTGTACATTGCCAGCATCATGGCCTGCAAGGTGCCCCACGCTGTGCCTCCAAGTGCCTGCAGGGTGTTTGATCTTGTGCGCATCTTCTGGAGCACTGCATCTACAGCCGACTACCAGGACACGCGCGGGTCAAGCATCAAACCCAGATAAGTTGCTGTCTTTTCTGATTTTATCGGAGTTCCCTCGATGTGTAGTACTGAACGAAATGTTCGCAGTATTGGAGCCTGGAACAGAGCCGTGGTCTTCTCAGCCGAGATGCCGAGGCCCAGTTCGTCTAGTCTGTGCACCGTGTTTTGTCAGTCCCCGTTGCAACTCTTTCACCATTTCCTGTCTACGATTTGGTGGGCTGGTGGCCCAAAGAGCCACGTCGTCTGCGTATACCGCCATGTTCACGAGGAACTGTGGTCGAGCTCCAACAACGGTAGCCGAAGGGAGAGACGCGATCGCGATGGAGAAAATCAGCGCGCTCAGCACGCTTCCCTGAGGCACACCGGCTGTTATCCCGTGTGGTGTGCTGCAAGTGTTGCCGACACGTACACGCAGTGTTCTCTCTTTCAGAAATGCACGTATGTATGACAGCGGGCGCCCAGTGATTCCGAGGTTCTGGAGAGCCGTGAAGATGGTGTCGTGGTGGAGCGCATCAAAGGCTTTCCTCGCGTCTAGGAAGCCTGTGGTCGTCGACCAGCCCCTTTCCTTAGCTTCCACCATGATGGTGGTGAGGTCTGCAATGGAGTCCGCAGTGCTCCTGTGTCTCAT